GCGGGCCGGGCGGCGCGGCGCAGGCGCAGGCGCACCACGGCGCCGCGGGCCGCGACAAGCGCACGCGCTGGTTCATGGCGCTCTTCGACTACGACCCCGCCAAGGACTCGCCCAACCCCGACGCCTGCGAGGAGGAGCTCACCTTCAACCAGGGCGACACCATCAAGGTAGCGAGGCGCTACTTGCAGGCGGTTTTAATGGATCTTTGTGTGTCGCTAGTTGGGGCTTGTGGTCGTAATAGTGAAGACTATAAGCAGGAGATTCAACTCTGGTGGTGGAGATGTGTGTAGATGCGTCGGGAATTAATAGGCACAACCGACCTTCGGAGACATTACGGGACGAATGGGAAAACATTTTAAGGCATTTTCGGACGATTTACGCAAAGTTCATGTGTCAAGTCAACGCAATCTAGCAGGGATGGATATTCAAGGGAAGTAGGTAAAATGATACTTCGCCAGTTATTTACATAAAAATTAAATTTTAAATTTATTCTCCTAATCTTTCAAGTCTTGGTTTTTATTAGAAACGTAAGTGTATTTTTGAATGACGCGCACGCGATAGCGTGTTGATGGCGATAGCTAAGTGCGTATATGCGTGTCGTTATTGGCTGAAGAAAGCCGACATAAATTCATTCATTCACCACGTGATTCGCTAAAGAGTAATTGAGATGATTAGCTGCCGGCTCCAACACCAAATTTGGGCCTCCTCCTTACAACACGAAACTATTAATTACAGGTAAAGTGTACTCTCTAGTTTCCAGATGCGGTCCTGTATAATCATCACATGTGAACACAAATCCCCAAAACAGAAAACAGATATTAATTGAATATTACATTTTTTAAGAGTAATACCTCTTTTTGCTCGCTATAACTTCACATGTTGTTATTGTTGCAATTATGTAGCAACATCGTTGTTAACATTTTCGAAGTAAAGTGGAAAGTAACATTTTCTCCGTAAGGATATTATGTGTGTGTGTGTGACTTAGTGAGCGTTGCAAGCACAGGCTTGAGCGTATGAATGGGGACATGCGCTAGTCGTTGGCAGCATCTGTGTGGCGTACAGAGCGCGTTGCAAACGTGTGCATGGCATTGCAAGCGTGCGCATGTTAGGATCGTATGTGTGAGCGTGCGTCTGGCATTGCGAGCGTGCGCGTCGCCTTGGGAGGGTGTGTATGTGTGTGCGTGAGCGATGTGAGCATGGTCATGTGTGTGACATGGGGAGCCTGCGCGTAGCATTTGGAGCGATTGCGTGTGCTTGCGAGCGTGGGCGTGGGCGTTGCGCAGGTGTACGGGGAGAAGGACGCGGACGGCTTCTACTGGGGCGAGCTGCGCGGCCGGCGCGGCTACGTGCCGCACAACATGGTGATGGAGGTGCAGGAGGGCGCGGGAGGCGGCGCGGGAGGCGGCGCGGGCGGGCGCGGCCACGAGGGAGCGGCGCGCGGCGGGCCGCACGCCACTCGCGACCGCTGGGGAGACATCTACGCCAACATGCCCGTCAAGCGCATGATCGCCCTCTACGACTACGACCCGCAGGAGCTGTCGCCTAACGTCGACTCCGAGGTACGTCAGCTCGTTCATCAGCGCGTTGGCGACCGGGCAGCGACTCATGTCGCTGCGGTGCCTCTGGTAGGATTTTCGACACTAACTAGCCAGCCAGGTCTAATTCAGTTGCTGTCTGGAGGAGAGTTCTAGGGACCGGCTGCTCTGTTCGGTAGTGCCGTGCTTTCTCCGATCAACACCAGGGGAATAGCCGGAGCAGTACTCTAACAGACTGCGCGTGATCTTCCCCTCCTCTTCCTTGCCCTATCCTCGTCTCGTATACACTTGAGTCACGTTGAAAGACTGGTCGGGAGCTTAGATGTCCCGGCTGGCGCGGTGTTGATACGAAATATTTCGTTGGGGATCTGGCCATCCAATGGGGGAATATCACAGCTACCGCCCGCAGTAAAAACATGCACTACACTTACTGGATAAACGTACAGTTTATTTAAGATTGTTAATTCTCGTTTCCTTCCCCCAACTTTACATTAACTGACCTTACTTCTCCAGATTTCTTACACAAATATATTTATTATACTACGCATTCCATTCTCACTTCTTGCCATGGTCCGACAGACTTCTCTACATTCTGATGCTCATTACGCAGGTGGAGTTGTCCTTCAACACGGGGAACATCATCTACGTGTACGGCGAGATGGACGACGATGGTTTCTACATGGGCGAGCTGGACGGCATGCGCGGGCTCGTGCCCTCCAACTTCCTAACGGAAGCGCCGCCCGACTACGAGTACGAGGGCGGTGGGCGGGGCGGCCGAGGGGGCCGCGGCCCCTCTGGGGCGGCAGGCCCCGGCGCACGCGGCCCCCCTCCGCCCCCGCGTGACGGCCGCATGGACCCCCGCGCCATGGACCGGAGGAAAGGTAGGGCCCGTCCCTCGCCCCCCCCTCCCACGCGTCACGCTGCCTCGCGTCGGTGGAGGCGAAGCTGCGGCTCGATCGCCCTAAATTTTCGAGACCTCTCACAGACCGCGATCTGTCGATGCCGATAGTGGATATATATTTTTTCCACGAATCATGTCTACATGATCGGAAAGGATGATACGTGCTCCAGTGCAGAGGAGATCATGATTCTCTGTCTCTCCCTCTCTGCACCTCGCTCCCTCTCTGCATCTCGCTCCTTCTCTGTTTGTGTCTCCCTCTCTGTCTCTTTCTCTCTTCCCCTCTCTGTTCTCACTCCCTTTCGCCGACTCTCTGCATGCACCCACATGCTCATGCATTTTCACACACACACACACACACACACACGCATACTCATACACATACGTTACTTACACGCGCTACACTTCTACATGTCGGAGGCTTCAAGCTTGTCCCGGCTGCAGAAAGAAATGCCCCACTGTCTCAGAAACCTGGAGGGAGAACTCCCCGTAAGCCAACTCGAAAGTCAGCTCAAGCGGTTTTAGCCGAGAAGTAACACCGCCACCTCACGAGACATAACAGACACAAGTCTCACGAGACGAATAAAACCATTGTAGTTGACGCGCCCGGCAACAAAATGGTCCATCTCTTTCCTTCTTTCCCTCTTTCTATCTCTCTTCCTTCTTGAGAGTCTCTCCCCCAGCTTGTGGGTCCCTCTCTCCCTCCTTGTCTCTTTCTTTTTCTGTCCCTCTCTCTATCTCTCCTCTGTATCCCTCCCACTCCAACCCTCCCTCTTTCTATGTCTCTCTCTCGTTTCTTTCTCTCTCTACGCCTCCCTCCCTTTATCTCTATCCTTCTTTATCTCTCTCTCTCTCTCACTCACTCACTCACTCACTCACTCTCTCTCTCTCTCTCTCACTCACTCACTCACTCACTCACTCACTCTCTCTCTCTCTTTCTCTCTTTCTCTCTCTTTCTCTCTCTTTCACTCTCTTTCACTCTCTTTCTCTCTCTTTCACTCTCTTTCACTCTCTTTCTCTCTCTTTCTCTCTCTTTCGCTCTCTTTCTCTCTCTTTCGCTCTCTTTCGCTCTCTTTCTCTCTCTTTCTCTCTCTTTCTCTCTCTTTCTCTCTCTTTCTCTCTCTTTCTCTCTCTTTCTCTCTCTCTCTTTCTCTCTCTTTCTCTCTCTCTCTTTCTCTCTCTCTCTTTCTCTCTCTCTCTTTCTCTCTCTCTCCACAACTTACATCTTAAGAAATGTGTCATCTTTTCCATTCTCTCAAGTTTAATATCTCTTCTCAAATATTTTTCTTTGAAAATAGTTTTTATTTTTAAAAGATCTGTGAGCGCAGTTTAGATTTCTGTATTTTATTTTATTAAATAAATGCAATATCTACTATTCTTTAGCACTCCTTCACAAATTCATTCAAATTAATTGTGAAGTATTTGTAAGTATTAGTCTAATATTTACTGCTTTGATAATAAAACAGTGTACAATCATATGTGCGTAACCACATCCCTTTAATGAAAATTATGGGGTCACTTATTTTATTTACTACTTCACAAAATTTCTTACAACATATGATTAATAAAGATAAGCTTAAAATAGCTAATAGCCCCATTGAGCTAACCCTTTAACCACAATATCTCTTAATTCACTTTTGAATAATATTAATATTGAATATCACAATAGATTTATGATATTTTTCATTTCTCTAATCACAATTTTGTTATAACACCTACAACTTTCTTCAACATTTATCATATTAGCACAAAACTAATTGCCATGTTTATTTAGAATTATAAATCTCATTTTCTTCTTATAGTTTATCTGAATTTAAAGTCTCTTGAAATTGCCTCACTTCTTGTTTCATATTAAGGATTATCAATTACTTTTATAAGAATGTAACAATTATTTTTTTCTCATTTTTGGAGTAAAAATATCATAATCAATTAGTTCAAATTATTTTTAAAATTTATTTATTTTAGTTTTTGGTGGTGTTTCAGTTGATGTATCCATAAAAATATTTCTTTTAAAAGTTGGAATTGTTTTTGTGATATTCTTTATGGATACTTAATTCTGTGATTTCTTTCAGGACGAAAGCAGATGATGTTTCTAAAAGTGTCTCTTGCATTATTTATTTTTCTTGTGTGTTTCAATGTTTCTTCCACGCAGAATATTTTGCCTGGAAGTGATTTTAAATGAAGACTGGTTTTTTTTAATTCCTTTTTTTAATATTTCTGCCTATTCTTAAATAACATCAATGGCAAAATAATAGTAGTAGTAGTAGTAGTAGTAGTAGTAGTAATAATAATAATAATAATAATAATAATAATAATAATAATAATAATAATAATAATAATACAATTAATAAATATTTAATACTTTGTTAATTTTTTATTAATTCTAGGATTTAATATTTTGAGATCTGTTTTTGCTCATTGACAAGCTCTTGAGTTAAGAATTTAAGGTTTTCATTGAAGGTTAATTTTCTGCAGTTGGAAGCACTGTCAGCAGATTATGACTTGACCACAATTCAAATTATTTCAGGGTTCTGACAAGGTTTTCTTTTGCATGAGTTTCATTGTCAGTCAGATTCAGTGATATATCTCAGACGAATTAAGTGGTTAATAAAATATTTAAAAAAATATTGTAGTAGCTTCCAAACTAATTGAACTAATAATACATTAGATTTTGTTTTACAAAGATTGACTTTGATCCCAAGACCATTGATACTTCTGTTATTGTGGAAGCATTCAACTACTTCTACAGCTAAAAAGTGCTGCAGCTGCTACCTACAGATCTTGTGTTGTTTCTCATTAATCATGGTTTTCTCTTATTTTCTCCCCACAGAACAAACACTCCATTCACAAGGCCTCCTTGGCCAGAGTAGCCATGTATCTGGTCGCTCAGCCGCAGGCTCTGGGGGGTGGGTAGCCAGGGCCCTGTGGACAATTCTCTGTCTCCCACCTCTTAAGTTGCTGGACTGTGTTCGTGTGTCAGGTTACGTTCAGTGGAGTTAATACCTATAGTTTTCTTCGTTTCCTGGTGCTTTCTTCACATTTTTCTTCATAGAACATTTACTTTGTGTGTTGTATTTTATAAGCAATTGAGCCACTTCTCATGTACTTTCTTTCTTCCCATGAAATTATTCTGTACTATTGAGTTTTTCCCAGTTTATGATTCCATTGCATTTTCTTATTTTTGTTGAACTCTTGTTTCTCTTTGCTCTTCTCCCACGTACGTGTGCTGTTTTGATCCATTTCTTTTTTCATCTACTGAGATTAAACTTGTCTTTTATTTTCTTATTTTATGTTCTATAATTTTATTTATTGTTAACAAGCACCATGAATTTCATGTATAATTTATCAGTACTTGAAAAATAACTCCAAACCCTTCAAAAAATTGTTTATTATTTCAGCTTCCATTCACACTAGACAAAATTGTGGAGTATTGTGAAACTATAAAAAATTTAAAAGAAATGAACCAGAATCAACAAAGTAGAAGGCTTCAGTTATTGAATGTTAAAAGAATCCTTGCAATCCAATTGTGCCTAAATTGAATTTTGTGATAAAAATAATCCCTATACATGCCTTCCTCTAGCTGCAAATGATTTATTAATGGAATAAGCTTTTTAAAAAATTGTCTATGAAAGGTCTTTTGATTTGTCCAACAAAATTAAAAAAATAGGATTATATTACACCTTCTCAAAATTTAAAAATAAAAATAAAGATAATTGAAAATGTTTTTAATGTTAATAAACTCATATTGTCTTTCATCTTATAAACCTGCAAGTATAATCTTTTGGAACACAAGTAGATAGTAATGAGTAATAATTCATATATGAAGAGACTTTGAACTTTCTCAGTAAGTGAAAAGAAGACTGACAAATATTCTTGTGAAAATATATTATCAAGATTGTCAATGTTTCTTACTACTTCATAAATTGTGGAAGATGAATATTGTTGAAAAATATTGTTTCTATAGTGAGTCATAAGTGCATCATATGTTGTTCAATAAAAAAGTCAGCCTTGTTGTTACTGTAAATTTCAGTGTTTAGGAACCTTGAAATATGGTAATGGACCACAAGGGGCCTTCAAATGCATACATTAGTTTGATGTTAAATTAGAGATAAATAATGATATTTTAACAGAATAAACTTCTAAATATTTGACAATCAAATATAATATTTTAGTTTTAAGATACAGTTGTTAATATGTAATGACATTTATTAATCAAATATGCTATTCAAATGACTTGAATCTTTCTCCAAACTTAATGTTTTTATTCAACAAATTTTTTTTAATGACACTGAAGACTAGATCAGTGATATGTAGCACATATGTGAGTAAGATTGGTTATCGAATGCCACTGTGAGCACAGTCCAATAACCTGAGATACAGTGGGAAGACTTTAAATATTTTGCCTTGTTGACTACACAGACCACACACGGCCTAAGAAGTAAACTGGATTTGATTTTTGTGTTAAGACAATTGGAAATTCCAGACTGGGTTTTTGAATATCCAAAGCAAAACATTAGCACAGGAACATAACCATCTTGGCGGGCAGCAGGTATTTTTGGTTTTTGAACCCTGTAATTTCTTTTTCTCTCTATCTCTATCTCCCTTGTGATTTTTTCCTCTTTATAACATTTATAAAGAAGCAGTGTGATGTTGATGGAAATTTGTAATGGTTTTTATTCTTGTTGCATAATTATATATGAGATGTTGTGTTGTTTTTCATATTAATGTTTCATTTATCAACACCTTTGTGTCAGTGGTATCTTTTCTGTTGCTGTCAGTGTGGCATTTATTGTGAACCAACTTGTCTGTATCTTTTCTCCCTTTCACTTGAGATGTGACAGATTTTTGTGATCCCTGATCTCCAAATCCTTGATATCTTACCTTATTCTGTGGCAAATGTGTCACTGCTCACTCGTATTGTGACTGTGATAGCATTCTTTACAGCAAAGAGATTCCTATAGTTTAAATAAAGAGAAAATATATCTACCATAGTTTTATATTTGTTAAAATATTCTGGTGAAGCTATATTGTGTAACTTGGTGCCCTTGTAGAACTTGATACTCAAATATGTCATAATTCACAAAATTTGTGACTTTAGGAATCTCTTCTTCACTCTGATGTGACACAATACCTACTTTGTTTAGTCAAGTGGACATGCAGATTTTCTTTTATCTGGAGATTAAATACTACTAATTAAACATACCTGGATCAGATTAAAAATTTAGTAGATTTGTTTTTGCTTCTCCCTTGCAATCCTGTAGTTATTAAACTCTCTTTATACTATTTTACACATCTGCTTTGTGATCTTCAATTAAGTCCCCCCCACCCCACCCCACCCCCCTGTGCTTCTGTGTGTGCATATACCCCGGTGAAGGAAGCACCTTGATGGCTTCTGAAACTCTAAGGCTGTCTTTTTTGAACTAAGGCCTCCTGTGTCACAGCAGGGTTCTCTCCTTAGCCCCCTGCAAGTCTGAGTCAGTGGAGCAAGGTGTGATGGCACGCTGTACAGAATAAATGATTTGACCATCCAAATGGCCCAATCAGAGCTTGGATGTCAGAACCTCTAGGCATCTTTTAATTGTGTCTGAGAGAGAATAAGAACAAAGAAGAGGAGGAGGATAAAAACAAACAATTGACACTTATTCAGATACGTGAAGATGATAAGATTTTAAAAAATGTGAGAAAAATAAGATTTTATTGTTATTGATCATAGTGGTCATAATTTAATTTTTAATTTTATCTATATTAGCATACATTTAAACCACTTGAGATTATCAGATGTTGATTCATTATCCAGTCTTCTTTTTTTTATTAATGTGATTTGGAGTCTGCATATGTATCAGATTCTGAAACTTTATTATAGAAAAATATCATATTTTTCTTCTGTTAAATGTAAGTAGTTTTTTCTTGAAATGACTTCAAAAACCAAAAATACCCATTTTTAATAAGAGTCTCTGATCACTGAGACTATATTCTTATTTTTATCAAAATATAAAGATCAAATATTTTATCATTTTTACCACACTAACATTTTATCTTTCATCATAAAATTTCATTGTTGCATCCAAAAAATTACTTTACAGTAATCACTTTTGTTTGTTTCAAGAATTTAAAATGTCTCCTCTTATTTGCTCTTATTCTCTCTTTCTATGTGCCTTGGATTAGAATGCACCAAGGTTTTGTTGAGAGTATGACAGCTCTAAATGTTTAGGGAGTTTATGTGCATGCTTGTGCTTGCTGAAATTTTTTGAGACTGTAAGACAACACAAGACATCCAAGTTTCTTGGGCATCAACCAATGAGCCTTAAGGTGACCATTTTCCCCCTTCACATACTGAGATTAAGGATATCTTCTCAACCCTTTCTCTCAAACTCACCAGATGCCAGTTAAGATTTGGCAGTTTGCTATCAAAATTTGATCAGTTTAGATATAACTTTAATGTGTAATTTTCTACTTTTCATGTGGAATTTTTAATTTTTATTAGTATAAATGGGCAAAATAAAAATAGATTTCTTTGCACAAAACTGCCAAATTTTGTACTACATTTTTACAATGCAAACCATGTGTTTACTACCACTACCACAAGTAATCACCATAATCACTCTCACTAACTTCACTGTAAAAACCACTAGCACTATAGATGGCGAGGTACCCCCTGCTTAAGATCACACAATCCAGCAATTAAAATGAATATTCCTATTCTCATTTTTAATGGATCTGAAGATTTCCTCAGATGGACATATTTATAAATCAGAAATTGTGAAGCTGACATCGTAATACAGCAATAATATTTTTGGTGAACTAAGAGAACTTTTTCAACACTGTTAACTAAATGCTTTTGTTTCTACACTTACTTCTTTTATATTTAGGTGCTGCATTACATCAAATAATCATTTCACAAAATGTGCAGCACTAGTGACCCAATATTTAACTATTTGTCTATGAAGATTTGTCATGTACTTTTGTTTTGAAAATGCACATCTTGATGACATTATTAATAGTTGAAAAGTTAATATAGGTGATGAGTTTAATTCTACTCAACAGTGTGTGTTACTTCTTCTTACAGTTGGCAGATATTTTAAAATTTAAAAAAAAAATTCCCAAACTAAATCTATAATGATTTATAAGAATTAAATTGTTATTGAAAATTATTTCAGTGTAACTCACGAACAAAATAATACTGAAGAGTACTATGTGAAAAAATAGAAAAACAAGAATATAAATTATGATTAAATTTCTTTTTGTTATTTGAAACAATGCTTTTTATATCTGAATTGGAACTGGAACCTTGTCCTCAATTGGAACAGCACCAACAACATTACTTTATTTGTTTGACAGTTTTGTCTTTCTTGTTGAAATATCAAGATGTTCATATCTCCCTTTTCAATAGTTTCTGTTTCATTGTTCCTAGAACTCAAATATATTCCCTGAACACTTTTGACTGCTTAATTTTAAAACTGATTATATTACAACAGCCGCATTATCCTTTCAGCTTGGGAAGCTCAAAGAATGTCAAAGCAGAGTTATAACATTTATTGTCTTTTTTTATGGACAATGATTGTACATCAAGATCCAGAGCATTAGAGAGTAACATGATTTTGTTTTAATTATTTAAATCCATCATTTTTATTTTGTATTGTTCACAATGTTCATGGTGACAAGCAGACTGCAAAATTATGTTTGTTTGTTTTTTTGTAGTTGTAATAAAGTGCTCCAGATTTAGTAATTTTGAATATGAATTGTGACAATAAATATTTTTATTTAAATAGCATTACACATGTCATTAACTTTCTTGACATTGCTTTTGAATTTTCATTAAGAAATTATGAAAGTGCATGTCAAGTAATTTACTCAGCCAACATTATGAAAGAAACTTCAGTTACAAATTCAAATAATATTTCTTATACCATAAACTTCCAAATTGAACTTCTTCTGTTGTAATTTAAATTTGTGCAGAAAGTAAATATGGCTAGAAGTACTAAATGTTATCACATAATATGAATGTATGTTATTCTATGTTTCAATAGTAAATTACTTGCTCAAATCATCCCAACCATGTTTTAATACTTCTCTAAATTATGAAAACTGTTTTCAGTCTCAGATACATAAATAGACTCCTGAGTTCTTCGGTTTGATCACATAATTTTGTAGATCCTAAAGGTTGTGAACTGTACTAACTTACGATCATTGTTTCATAAAGAAATAATAATTTCATTGTTCACTTTTTAATTATAAAGTAATATTTAAGACCTAGTCAAGTTTTCTGTTATTTAATAAAATAAAAGAAAGTTACTTCAAACCTGTTACCAGAGTTCTGAGCACCTTAAATTCAGATATTCTGTATTTGCCTGAGTGGCAAATAAACACACGATATTGATAACCTTTCACTGAAAACATTTAAACCGTGTAAAGGTCCCAAAAATATCTGGAGCACTCCTCTTCATTCATAGTCAAAACTGAAAATTGTATGAATTATTTACTACGTTTTTATTTACTGAATCTTAGTATTTTGTACCTCTTGGACAGATAATTACTATCCTGGAGAAATAAACATACATAAGTTGACATAACCTAACCTCATACCAATGAAATAGAACATACATAAACAAATTACAGGGTTGTAGAGCAAATTATTGCCCCTGCAGTATCTCTGCTCTGTCAACTTTTATATTTCTCGTGTGTCTGTTTCGCGATGTTACTCTGGGTGTCGCATGCATTGGGCTGGAGCAGTGTTCTATCTCTCTGTTTCCTTTCTTTTTCTTTCTTCTCTCTTTCTCTCTCTCTCTATTCTCTGTTTCCTGTGTTCTGTCTGTTGCTAGATGCCTGCCAAGCCCCAAATCAGTTAGACTATAGAGGTGACTCCATGGCACAGGTGAGTGGTGGAAACTGCCGCAAGCTGTTGTGTGGACAGAAGCAAACAAAAGTCATCCAAAGTCCGCTTCCAAAATCCATGATTCGCTCATTCTCTCTAATTCTAACTTTTGCTCGCTGATTGTTCCTCTCTTTTTCTTTGGCTCTTACTAATCTTTTCTGCCTTCTTCTGAGCATGGCTTGCCTTATAATCACAAAGAATAATTTATATAGTTATTGAAACAACAATGACAACAGCTTTAAAAATAACAACATTAAATTCATTTTCATAAACAAAAATAATTATATGAAGAAACTGATTATTCTTTCTTGTTTCATTTACATTTCTAAGAAAAAAAATAATATATTTAAATTAAAAACTGAGATCAATAAATTCACATTGTAAAAGTGATTGTTTAGCTCTCCCAGACACCAGCAAATTCTCGAGTTTTGGAAGCATATTAAAATTTCAGGGAGGTTGTGAAGAGAAATTCTGCCAAAATCAAGGAATCTGAAGATGACAGTAACTTTGCAAAGCCTGAGGAGCACTGTGATTCATGAGAATGAGCAACCTCCCATGCCCATTCACCCTTGGATCTGTGCATGCTTTTCCTCAATTGAGTCTGCCTGCTTGCCTGTGTGCCTGCCTGCTCAATGCATGTATCTGTGCACCTCTGAGTCTGATGGTGTGTGAGCCTGCTTGCTTGCCTGCTAGCATGATCACCTGCCTGCTTGCTACATGAATTTTCTTTTTCAGCATGTTCTATGGGGTCGTTTACCAGCTGCTTTGTTGAAAAACTTATTTTTCAGTTCTGTCTAATGTTCCTCTAACTCTGAATCTCTCTTTTTATCGGACTCTTAATCTATTGTCTTTTCTTCTTGTCTGAAACACCCACCATGGATTAGAACCATAATATTTTCAACAGGCTGTGTAACATGAATTCTGTTTGTCATTCACAAGTCTGCTGACATGTACAACCTTTATATTTTCATGTTTTGTCCTTTCTAGCTTGAATACTTAGATCAATCTTTTGCCTTGTCTGCATATACATACAGTTTTCATGTACACTTTTTTTACTCATAAGCTTGGCACTATGAGCTTATATAATTCTATCACTGTCTTATTAATTGGAATATCAGTCTCTGCAAGCAAAGACATTTGTTAATCACATAATCTTTTGCTCTGATGATCATTATTTTGGTATGTGAATTAATAACATCTAATTATGAACCACTTCTTCATAAGTGGAAATTTTACTACAGGTTTTTTCAATTTAACATTTTTCTTGTATTTCACAATATTATGTTTTTTGAAAAACTTTGTATTTTGAAATTACAACTTTGAATGCTAAAGCACAGCTGCATGGAAAATCGAGAATGCTATGGTTCTACAAGTGAACAATGTACATACTCTGATTTTTAATGACCTTTCTGTTGTTTCATTTGTGATTTTTGTCATCTACTTTTATGACTGATTTTATATTTTATAATCCCTTGGTTTTTATTATAAAGAGTTTAAGCTGAATAACCCAATTTTATTCTTTCCAGGGGCATGCTACATACAATTAACTACATATTGTTTAAAAACTTGTTATATAAACTGCAAAATTATGTACTGTTTACTTTCTCCAATTCTCTGTTGTGTTTGAATTGATTCTTGTGTTTACTTCTACAAATGAGTTGATGAAAACGCATGACATGGTTTTAGTATGTAATTACTAAGGTGTCCCTTGTACCTTCCTGACAGGCCTTATTGAAACAAATGTCCCTCCTTTTGTGTTCCCTTGTCATTTATGTGCCCAGAAGAGCCTTATCTTGTAGAACCCTGTAGATTCCTGTGTGTAGTCTTAGGATAATGTTCTTTGACTTTCATGAGACTACTCAATTTCTGGACAACTAACTGATCAATATAACATTTCATTACTATTTTTATTAATATTTATAATTATTCTTGTTATTGCAATCTTATTCTTAATGTTTTCAGTCCAAATAAGGTACCTATTTAATGACTTCTTTAAAGGTATGATGTATGGAGAGATCAAAATACAAGTGCATTTTTAATCTTTTATGAAACAATTCAAACAGTTGCGATGAATAAATAACCAAAACTTGAGAAGTCTTCATGTCAGTACTGATTTTTTGTGTAGAAGGGACACCAGGTATTTCGCTTACTTGGAAGTTGGTGTTAATTCATTGATAAACATTTGTTAAAAATTCAAGATTGCACTGGAACTTGTGAAAAGAAGTATTTGTGTATCTTACACATTGACTTCAAGTAAATTATGTAAATTATCTTTAATCAAAACATTTTTGTGATTACATTGACATTCATTTGTATAATGCCAGCTTCCTTAAACTTTGTAGATTTTGTGAGTGCAAGGCAAACATCTGACATTTGTTATGAATGCACACACAAGGAAATATGACCCTTCAGGTTAATAAACAATCTTGGTAGCACTCATTACATTTGCATGACAAACTTAATGCAAGACATGAATCAAAAGAATGATCAATTATTATTTTTACAGATTGCATCTTGGTCATACATTGTTTTTGCACAAAATTGGTAGTCACATTATGGCTTTTTTGTGCTAAGAGAAGAAAACTGCTTTTGTAGATGAACTGATATTTTGTAATGAGCTGCATAATGATGTAAACTTTTCATGGTGAATCACTTACGTTATTGAAAAGAGCCCTCTCCACACAGATGAGAATTTGTTTTTCTTTATAGTTGTTTTATTTTTGTGAACACATTTCACTGTACAATAAATCAATACCCTGTAATTTAAATTGAATTATGTATATAATTTTTTTTTAACCAAAACAAACTTAATTTATTTGGAAGAGTGCTTAAAAATAATTAAATGAATTATGTAACTCATTTTCAAAATATCCCTTTCATAGATGACAATGCCTTACAATTTATTATAAAGTATTGCATGTCAGATGTTTGCAAGCAATAAATCAAGGTACTAGTTCAGATGAGCAGTTATCTTTTAGTACCTGAGATGAGCGCTCTTCTCCCATTAGTATGACCATATAGGTTACAAACATTAGCCCAATTTCTGTGACACTAAAGTTGTTTTATTAGGAAGATAATATTAATAGAATTTGAAAAGGGAAGCAAAATGTTTTTTTTTTTTTTTTTTTATTTGCTACAATTTATTTACAAATGTCAATTTATAAATGAATGCTTCAATGGAAATTACAAGAGAAGTGTTAAGATGTTTATTACTATCTTCAAAGTTCCTGAAGCTTATTCTTTCTCAAAACAAAAAGGTTCTTTCATGTGATAAAACAAATAAAAATGCACAAAATTTTATGACATATAAATATAGACCCTAATTTTTGGTTACAGAAAATCATGTCTCAATGCTGATTCTTAAAGATAACAAATACATTTTACACCATACCGGTTGAAAAAAAACGTTTTTGCTTACAAGTACATTTCACACTATATTAGATAGCTCTTAATCTTTTGTTTTGGTTTAACAGCAATTGTACTTAAGGATAGACTCGATGATAAAATTCCTGAAAATTTATAATTGACATTTCTATGGCTCATTTACATACAATAAGATAAGAGTTATTAATAACAACTTTTAAGTGCACAGAAATATGGTGACAAACTAGTCTTGGGGGGGAAGCATATCTAGTGTCTGTCTTGCAGGGTCCGGGGGGACTGAGAATGAGAGGCGGGCAACGGGGCGACAGGAGAAGTGGTAGCGGTCGCCCACCCACCGACCTGCCCCCACACATGGACCAGCAAGCCCAGGGTGGGGCGGGTCACGGTGGGGGCCCCGGCAAGCAGCCATCCCCCCAGCAGCAACAGGTAAGATTCGTAAGAGCATAGGCTGGCAGAATCCATAGCTTCTTGGCTGTCTGGGAGGCAACGTGACCTAGGCACCAATTCTATCTCCTAGGCCAACTTTCCAGCTGCCATTCTATGATCTTCCTCAGGGTGAAATGCATTTTGTCCAGAGGAAGATTGTATAATGGTAGCCAAAATGTTGGTACCTGTGCATTTGATGAGGTATCTCCCAGACATCCAAGTAGGTAAGGTAAGATTCATCATTTCATGCTAGACTCTACAAGTTTGTGATTAAGAAACCAATACATTTGAATGTAACTGACACTTACAAATACACTTACTAAACAAATTATTCTCTGAAATATATCATGTTCTGTCATTCCCATTTCAAAGTGATAACAAATGTACTGATATTTGATATTACACAGGCACAATAGAAATACCATTTGAAAAATAGTTTTTATACATGTGATAATAGCACTGGGAAGGATCAGTACAGTGGTGTAATATTCAGGTCCACAATGCCTGCAATGCGGGCAGGCTTGGGTAAAAGACGGTCTGTTTTTAGGGAACATTTTTGTTATTTAAGATACTAACACAACTTGTGTTTCCTACACACTTATATAAAGGGAGCCCAGATAAATGTTTTGCAGGCAGGCCCACACTCATTTCATTATGCTTCTAGATTAGTACAATGTATAAGGAAAAGAAGTTTACATAGCAGAATTAAGTAGGGTGGTTTAGTTTTTGTGAATACTAACTGTAAACAGTAGATTATGCAAGGGACACTTAGGGATGGTTTGGATGAAAAAAGACAGTTCCAGCTAGAAGATAGAGGAGTTTAGACTAGGGTATTGTCTTGAGTCGATTGAGTAATTGTGAGTAAATGAGAAAGAGTATTCATGGATATCACTGAAAATGTTTGGAATACACATTTTAAAAGTGAGTGTATTTCCATTATCTACATCCAATTAATTATTTTATACAGAACAAGTTAACAAAAACAGATATCTGAATAAAACCATTTAACCAACACTTGTAAATTGAGATGAAGGAGATATCAGGAAGTTTTTGAGAAATATCTTAACACCATTCTTTATTGCTGACACTGACATCATCATTGCCATTTTGATCTTCCCAGTCAACATAATCATTTTCTCTTTACATGATAATATAAAAGTTCACTACATAATGAACTCTTTTCATGCAAAGACAATACACAGTCCATAATAACTGGTTCTCTCACAATTCCTTTTCCCTAATGTAGATTATCCATTGTTTACTGAAGAATAGTTCTGTAATTTATTACAGATTATTAATTGTTCATTTCTGTCACATGTTTGTTGGTCCTTGTTTTTATACCATTGATGCACAAGAAAAGGAACGCATCTCAGAATTGGTTAATTTGTAAGAGAATGGTTTTAATCTGAGTGGATCTGTTTATATTGAGGCCAAAGACATTGTATTTTAGTGTTTATGCAAGAAATCTTTCGAACAATTTTTATGAAATATTATTAGTGAAAATAGATTATTTTCTTCACATACTACCTAATTAACTAAAAAGTGACAATTATTGAGAGGTGTGGTTTTTCTTGTCTACCAACAATATTTGAATATTACTATCTTTTTAAACCATTCTCTTAAACAACTGAAGACATTTTCTGAAAGACTGACTTACTGACTGAAATATTGTCTCAGAATTACACATCCATACTGTGTTTCATTATTATTTTCAGTTCATATTACTTATCTGAGGTGAAGAATAGTGGCATTACAAATTTGTAACTTGATCTCCTGAATTTACTTTCTTGTTTCATGACATTAAATGTCTTCAGAAAGTGGAAAAAAATTGTTGATGAGATAGTTTTAACATGCATAACTTTACATTTCATGCAGTTTGTACTCCCATCATGACTACATAGCAATTTATTTAAACTTAAGTTACCCTAGTTTCTCTTTAAACATGCTACTTTTGTTTTCAAGTTCACAAAATATAATAATTTCTTATTTTTGATAGCAACAGCAACAACAACAACCAAGCAAGCCATTGAAGGGTATTCCAAGTGTGGTCCCAGATTTTGTGATTCCAAACAACAAAGAGTCACCAACAGCTCCCGGACCCACACAAAGCACATCCAAGTTTCCCGATGCACCGAACCTCATGCAGAAGTTCTCGGAGATAACCGGCGGAGCAGACACATCAGTCGACAACATCATCTCCAAAGGCAAGGAACTAATATTCATGAAGTTCGGTTTGGGAAAGTAGAATGTGTAACTCTGGACCAAAATGGTAATGCTACTAGCGGCAGCTTCTCAGCTCGTCGTGACAAGCTGTTCTTGCCACTGGGATGAACTGGATATGGAAACCTTCTTAAGTGTTTACCACAGTGGGTGGATGATAGTGACCAGTGTTGTCATGTTCCAATGTTCAGAACTACTGTTTGCACCTATGGAGGGTAGAAAACAGATCATTAAATTTTGCCTTTGCAGATTGCACAGTTACAAAATATGATACATTATTTTCAGTACATGTAACCTGTTTTTTTATGTCCAATAAGACTTGTGAAAACTATACTTCAACTTCAGTAACTGGTTCTTTCTTCAACTTTTCTGAACTGAGTGTTTATATTGCTTAAGCATGTTACAATGCAACTTTTATACTCCTTCAAATGAGCTGAAATTGTTACAAGCCTCTTCATATTCTAATCTATTATAAACCAGGCCAGTTAAATAAGTTGAGGTATATTGTTTACACACATAATTTCAAGTCGATTGAAGTTAGAATAATGAAAATTCAAAATTCATTTTGTTGATTCTCTTCTTAACCTGAGAATTTGGTAGAATTAATATACATTTCATTTCAGACCCTCCAAGTGCATGGTACAGTGCATGTAGAAAACATTCTCTTCCTATGTGCCACATATTGTAAAAGCAAGTATGCCTCATATCTTTTGCAAAATAATGAAACAATTCAGTGCTCTGTGTATGGTTGTGTGTCATTTGTAGACTGCAGTGCTGAACTCTGGGAATGATCTGTCATAATTGTGATCTGAAAGAATTTATCTTCAGGTCTGGTTAAATAGTGGTTATTACAATGACATCAAGAAAATGTTTTTAAAATTATGTTTCAAAAGAAGTGAGAATGCTTTTGGACTGAAATCCAAAGACATTACTGTAATATATTACCTTGCATTCTTACTTCAGATATTGTATAGAGTTCCTACATTTGTATTTTTTGAAACACCTAGTTTTAAGAATTATTTTGTAAGTCAGAAATGTAATTCTAATTATTCTTCAAGTATTTTTAAAATTCTTTGGGTGAATGATTTTTTAAGCTTTGCCTGTCATGCCGGTGCTAGCATGTCAATGAAAAGATGCCCTCAAATCAATTAAATTTGTGGTTTTTCAAATGTAGAAACAAAGCTAGCAAGATAATAAGGAGAAATAATATGAAAAATTATTACAATATTTGAATTGTATTTACGTTTTGAAGCATTGACCATTAACCAGACTTGAATAGAATCCCAGAAATGGTCTAGCATTGCTGAACGTTGTATCTTATAATGATGTTTATTGAGATTGTGTAAATTAATTAATTCAAGTTGTCAATACTGAGCATATTCAAAAATATACATATATAAATATATAAATACATACATACATACATACTACTTACATACATACATACATACATACATACATACATACATACATACATACATACATATATATATAAAAAAAACTATCACAAGTGATAAGAAGGAGCAGTTCACCGAGTGCAAGAGATGACTGTATGTGTTTTGTGTGTTTGTTAAAGTAGTTTCACACCATTGTTGACTTCTGCCTTCATTCCCACCCTTCTTTGCGCCTCTTTAGCTGGATCCTAGACTTGTGAATGTGAAAATAAAATTATAGTCCACTAATGGTGTCAAAAAATTAAAACACACATTTACACACATGTACACAAAACACATGTATACATATACAGCATATATATCTTCTATTATATCTTGTGTGACAGATACTGAATATCCCTGTCTACAATATATAAAAAAATACATAAGCTTTAAAAGGTCAAATGTGTAAAATAAGATGTATATGAAAAAGCTGCATTATTATTTATCATAATTTGTTTCAAGTAAGTATGATCAATAGTTTGTTAAAAATTAGAGGATTAACTTGCAAGGAGAGCATTATACCTGGTGGCTGTGTGTGTTTGTATGTGTGCATAGATATGCTCTTGTACTGCTGTATACCCACTATCCCCTCACGGGACCAAATGTTTCTGGATTGCTCAGAAGCATAGAATTTTCTCCTGCATAGGTTTGGTACTAAGATTGTTTACTTAACACTAGAAATACAATCTTTTAATTGAAAAATATTTTTCAGAATTCACAAAAAAATTTACAATTTTTATGTTATTCTTAATTCAACTTTTTAAGGTTATCTGCTTTCGTTTGTAACAACTTACAAGGCACTTTAAAGTGTTTAAAGTAATTTTTTAAAAACAGTTTAATAAGCAGTACAATCTCTTGCACAGGAGACACTGATTGTTGGTGACATTGTTATTACTATCAACAACCCAGCCATCAACCTTCTTGCCCACCTCAGTTTTCTCCATGTTCCAAAGTGCAGACTTAAAGAGCGTGTTTCAAAGTCTGGAGTTACTAGTTGATGTATCTTTCAGACAGCACAAAACGCTCAGTGATTCTTTTTTTAAATAACAGAAATGGGAATATTGTGTAAAAAAATGGATAGCTATTATTTATTCTTTGTTAAATAATTTCCATTCTCTTTATTGAGAGGCACAGTCCATCACACAATGCTTCTCAGGCAAGGGTTGTGCACAAATGTCACAATATCCTGCTCATTAAGGGAAACAAAACTGTTGTTCTTTCCAATATACAGTTACTAACACTAAAGCTTTAAAGAAGCAGGAATCTGCATTAGAATAAATCTGCTATATGGAAATATTCTTAACAATCTAAATCCAGAAACACATGCATATTGTATCTGTTTCAGGAGGTACCCCATTTCATGAAGACTTAACCATTCATTTTGTGACAAAGTCTTCCTGTTGATTGAATAAAATATTTCATAAAGCTTTACATGGTACAAACTTTCCTCTTCTTACACTATGTTACACTGGTTCATGAATTATTTATATGAACAAATAAATTTTAAAACAATGTTGAGAAGTCTTGTTTCTTGTTACACACTAAACAATGTAAGGAATGAAAGATACAATTGCAAAGTTTTTGCGGTCCATATTTGACATCTATCTGCTTTTCAAACTGAAGAAAATGATGTCAAGGTGTCCATATCTGTCTCTTCTCTACACATTAGATGATACTGGATATACTTAGATACAATAGGAGCTTTTGTTATATGTAAGTGATAATAAATTCCATATTTGTGATCCTAATTATAAAATACTTGAATTAGTCTTAAGCCATATACAGAATTAGCATGCTCATAAGTTTTAGCAAATGACATTTGTACTTATATTTTCTATTTCATAAACAATGTGTTCAAGGGATATGTAATGATCCTGCACACAATGCTACTTTGGCTGGTAATCAAATTTTACATTTATTCAGGAACCAGTGTTGGAATGTGTTCCAAAGTAGAGAAAAACAAAAGAAAAGAAATGTGATGTTTATTATGCATTTATGCATCACTGAGTAGCTACTGGAAAGACTTTGTCACAGAATTCTAAACTATATATACCTTCAAAACTGTCTTCTTTCCTTGTCTATATTATGCGTAGCAATATTTGTGAAATAAAATACTAAAACTTCAATATCATAAATTTACAGAACTTTAAGGAAAAGGCAATGTTTACTTCCAATAATATGTCTAATCATTCAAATGCAGTTCATACATTGATATAATAATACAAATGGAAAAACAACCAATTTAAGTTTGAATTTGAAAATAACGAATTTAAAGATTATTCAAAATTTTGCTATTATGTTTGAAAACTATTGCATTTCCAGGTAGAAAGAAATGGTACCCTCATTTGTCAAAATTTGTGGATATCAGTATCCGTAAGTAATATCTGTTCATTTACTTTAAATCTATCATTTACCACATAAGGCAGGCTTTCCAGAGATTTGAATTTGATATTTGAAGTCAAAGTTTGACTGCATGAGACTGGCCAAGTTTCAATGTACAAGTATTTTCTAACTGCATCAGCATTATTTCAGTACATATAGGTGTGATAATTTAGATAATATATTTTTCTGTCTTGCTTTAAGCTGTATATTTTAGAATTCAAAATGCCCCTTGGTGCATATTCTCATTAATTTCTGGAAGTACTGTTTTAGTGGTAAAGGATGTAAGAATAGGTGAAGAGTTTTTACTTTTTTAGACTAAACTTAAACAAAGCTATTACCTGCTCATAGAAATAGGAGATATATACAGTGATGGAATATAGTTTTTTTATAGTTTAGTTGAAATTGGAAAGTCTTTATCATAGAGTACATATCTGAAGGCATCAGTGTGGCATTTGTAGTTGGAATACGTCTGACCTTTAGTAATGGAACTTTTTGTGGCAGTTTGGTAAAGTTGTGGTGTGTGCTTGATGAGGCTTAGCATCAGTGAAGTAGTGACTCCGGATGCATGGGATGTATATGTCATTGCACAAGTTATAAAATGCTCTGTTTTTAATGGTACTGACATACAAGCTGTTGTGTTGTTAACAACCTGTACATGTCAGCACAGTTTTCAGTAGAACATTGCATTTTGTCAATAATAAATACTTACCTCAGTGAAGTGTATGCTGTTTACTAAGAAAGTAATTTTGCATCTTATTTGAAAAGCGATTTAATGTGATTGAATTGAAATTTAATTGACTAATATGATTCAACTACATATAAATGAATTTCACTGACATAAACACTTATAGTATTTTATTACACATTGTACTAGAAAAAATACAGATATTACTTAAGGATTTTTACCATAAGTAACTATACATAATCAGGTACAAGAAATATTTTCAGTTTCCTTAACGTGTTAATACAACAGCATTCAAAGAGTGAAAAGTGATAAATAGTCAGAATTAAAATATCATGTTGATAAGAAATAAAATGAACTTCTTTACCACAAAACAAATGTTAGAAGGGCTGTAGCATTTGTAGTTCTTGTGAGAGCGCTTCACAACAGAGCAAACAGTCCTCTCTTGGGTGTTCATTTAAATGCTTTGAATGGAAATCAGATTACTCTCCCTAATACATGCATGTGACAAATACAACAAAGAAAGTGATACCTTTTTGATAGATTTAAGTGAAACAGATTCAAATTTTGATATTGTATCAAAATCCCTCATGTTCCAAGCTGCGGCCCTGATTGTATGCATGAAACACACAAAATGAACGAAAGTTAACAAAGTACATGTGGTAAATTAAGTAAATAACTATTATAATGCTCTTACATAAAGAGAAACTCTTGTAATTCTTAATTTCATGTGCCTTTCTTTGTATCTCAGAGTTGGAATCATCTCTGTATATATGATGTAAGCAACAAGTATGTCTTGCAATTTCCTTGATGGTGAGATCTTCTTCCCTCCTCACTCACACACTTCATATGAAAACTCATTCAATGAAGAAAGTGTTGATGGGTGCCATCAACAAATGCCACCACCTCTTTGACAAGTGACATGTTCATTATTCTTGTCCTCTCTTAGTCTGAAGTGTTTCTCTATGCCCTCATTTTCAGAAGAAAAAGATCAAGAAACTGTTTTTAGCAAAATCATGTTGGTAGCTATATATACATTTACATGCCCAAGAAATCCTGTTTCATTGTCTGCAAAAGTATATACATGAAGAAATTTCTGTTGTTTTTGTGGAAGCTGGCATTCCTTATTATTGTAACAATAAACAATTTAAACTTTCAGACATTTTTTATGAGTATTATTATAATCACAGAGAGCCATTGATACATATATCATAAAGAAAATGTTGGAGAATGTATGTAGTATATAATTTGTTATGTTGTATTAATTTATTTAGATCTCTGTTACATTAACTGGAACAAAAAATAGAAACAAAAAAAGAAAAGAAATAAAGAATACAAAGAATATTCATGATTTTATTTTCAATAACAGTATTAATATTTTACAGAAGCAAGTGATGAAACATCATTTCACAGTTTTGGATGCCTGTTGATATTTTGTTTCTAGATTACTTCATAACAATTTCTATTCTCTTTGAATACACATCACTATTTAAAAATGACACTTTAATAATTAAACAATTAGTACTGCCTTGTACGGGACATATGCAAATTGGAAAAGACAGATGAATATTTGAAGCACATTAAATAAAATCAAATTCTTTAAAAATGGAAAAGTTAAAAGTAATTAATAAATAATTTTCACTTTTAAAATGATAAAAAAAAAAGAAGGAAAAATATAGTTTTGTTTCTTAATTTTCTTTAGTGATTTTGAAGCAAAATAAAGTCAAGATTTTAAAAGGAAATTGAATGAATTAACAAAACTGATTGTCACATGCCAGGACTCTCTAACCTATGACTGGCAGGCTGGATTTGGCCTGTGTGGAAATAGAGACTGACTGAAATAGAGGCCCAGCAAGCAAATACAAAAAACCATTTTCCTCATGCGTAAATTTAAAATAAATGAACGAATGATTTGAATTAAAGAAAGAGATAGAAAGAAAGAAAATTTAATTTTTTCCCCTGAATTGAGATTTGTGTCGAGAAAGATGAGAAGTGAATTAACTGAATTACAGAAACATATTATTTTAATTTAAATGTTATATTTAATATCCATATTTATAGCCACATTTAAACTTTCATTTCTTTAATCAAAATCTGAATTACGAACCTTTAAAAAAGGAAAATCATAATAAAAAAATCTTGAGGATGATGCTGAATACATCTCCATCCATTTTTGCAAGGGACAATGAAGACAATGGGAAACACTGCTACCAAGATGCTCTAAGAGAAGCATTTAGCCCTCTTGGCCGCATCATGCCTCCTTTCCTCTTGTCCTATATTCTTCCCCGTATTTCACAGTGGTCCTGCAGCCTGAAGGGGAAATGGTTTTTAATGGATTCTTAATGGCTGAAGAAAGGAATTTTTCCTTTGTTCGAAAAACCATCTATCAATGACTTTTCAGCTTGATCAATGCCCCAAAGGGCATTGCAATGAGACAAGGGCAGATACTGGCAAACAGCACAATCATTCTTCCATGATGTAATCCATGCCTTGAGACAAGCATGTTGGCCTATCTGGCTCAGAGCTCTGCTCTGCTTGTGAGGAGAGAGTCGTTTGAGGTAGGGATGTTGTAGGTAGGTAGTTGTAGATACGCAGCGCCTTTTGAAAAAAGGGCAAGCAAGGGACCTTCAGAATGGTTTGACGCCTAATTTCTTTTTTTAACATAAAGTACATTTGAACAATTATTTTGATCCAGAATATTTTTAACTGGTTCCTACCACACTCATCTTGGAGAACCATGTATTTTACACTTTTTTTAAACATATTTATGAGTGTACTTTTTGAAATAAAAAACAGTTTTAATTTTTTGTTAATTAAAATATTATTTTAAATAAAAATATTTTTTTCCTACAACAAAAATTTTTTGAAATTTTATTCATAGATTTTACAAAAATCTTTTAGATACCTGATAATCTGCAAAAAGCTTCTCACTGCTTTGTGATCTGACTTTTATGATGTTCACAACAAAAGGATTCACAAGATCAGTATCACTCCTTGACACAACACAGCTTGCAAGCAAATTTATGGGTTCATGCACTGGGATCAGCACAGGCCAGATCGTGGAGCCACTGACTTGAGCAGACCTTGTGTAACCTGTAAGAGCTCACAGAAGCCCAGATGAAGTCCCAAACTGAGAATTCTCTCTTATCCCCTCACATGTAATTTAATTAGTTGTGTTTCATTTGAAGCAATTTATGCTCTTGACTTTTTCCTTCATCATAAGAAATGCGCACGAGAAGTAACTGCAATCAGCAGATGAGCCTGAACTATGAGGAGTCGGTTTCAGACCCAAATAACTAGTTGCGACAGTGTGATAGTCCCCAGATCACCTGTGGCAATCCCTTATGCAAAATATTCACTACTCCATAATCAAACTGCACAAAAGACCATAATAAAAAATCATAACGCTAATTTAAATTCATTAGTAACTCATAGTAGTTGAATGTATTCATAGTAGTTTAATGTTTGACCTGTTCCTACCCCGTCTCATTGGAACAGTAAGAAATGAAAATTGAGCCCTGAAAGCTGGAAGGGTTAGGGTATGGTTAACACGCAAGTGTTAATCACAGATGTTTTGAAACAAAACTTTTTTTGTCAGGCAAGCCCTTATTTCCACTAAAATCTCTGGATCACTTTTTTGCGGCATCCATAGTTTTCTTTATGTAATGTATATTCTTTTTCATGAGAGCATTACAAATAACATTTAAAATAATAAATGCATGAATTTGTATTTTCTGCTTGTTAGCAATGGTAACAAGGAAGCCTTTTTAAACATCCATGATTTCCCAAACATTTGAAATTCATTAATGTGGGACAGTGGATCTGGACAGCGATATCGCTAAGGCAGTTGTGTCGTGATGATGTCAGATTGAGGGATATGTTCCCTTGGGCATAGATGTATTTGTGATTGACCCTTCACCCTTCATCATCCTATCACTTCATTAAAAATTGATTTTATTCATTGAATTTACTTCAATTACCTTCTGAGAGCAAAAAAATCTTTGGCATAAAATACATTTTTAAATAATTAGTTTTCTCAGTTTCCCAGTATTGTTGGGATTAACACTTCAGAGGGAGATCAAAAAGAACCCTTACATGAGCTTAACTTCCTTTCGTATGTAATATGCAAAGGAAAGATGATCTTTTTATACAAATTATAACAAGCAATTAACACAAGACCATGCCAAATAAGTACTGCAGGCAAGGGAATTACTTACCAAGGACGAATCAGATTGAAGATAAAAAAGTAGAATTTTGTAATTATGCTACGAAGAAATCAACAGGTGAATTTCATATCTTCATCAGACATAACCATCATGCATTTTATGGAAATGCTATGTCCTAAACTATTAAAAACTGATTATAGAGTTATGCTTTTTAGATCATTATCTACAAAAGATGATCTCTTTTGGGCCTTCTTTTACATTTTTTGGGGGATTGGCTATTCTGGGTATCCTACTCCTGGAAACCTAAATATGGGCCTGGGTCTAACTGCATTCATCATTATTTATTTCATAGGTTAGAGATATAAAAATTAAATTTGCAGCTCAAGAGAATTGTTGCAAGCTATTTTGTTTACTTGCACTCTGATATTACTATCACTTTGAAATTAAAAAACATATTTTTCACAATCTTCAATATTACAGACAATGAAATATTTGTGTTCTATCCTTCAGTCCTAAGATTTGAGTGATTGTCACATTTGTTTCTTCTTTATAATCATTTAGATAACTATTCTATTTTCACAACAAATTCCCTCTTCCATTAATTTTGAAATTTTACAATGATTTCAGCATTCTTTCTGATCAGAAGGCCAGAGAGAAACCATTGCAACCAGATATCAAATGCCTGTATTGCTGCAAACAAGTTCTTCCTAGAAACTGAACGTACCAAGCTTCTCACATTTATTTCTACAGTGTAAGCATTTTGGTGAGTTTACTAGTAATTTTTTCATTGTTTCTTTTCTTTTCTCTTGCTCTTAGTTTTATTACCAGCCCTCATTTGCAGATATGGGAGTAATTAATATAATTTACTTTTACTTTCCCATGATTATTTATTATTGGTTATCTATATATAATGGAATTAAAAAACAAATCTTTGCAAATGTAGTTGGCATTGAAAAAAGAACTTTTCAGCAATAGAGAGTATCCACTGTCATTAAGTTGATATGAGAAAATTATTACGAACTTCATTTTTAAAAAAACAATAAGAAAATTATTTTAGAATAATGTATATCAAGCAAATCAAAAACTGCATGCCTTCCTCCTTCAGGCAACTAGTTCTCAACAGCACATAAGTTTCTCACAATTATTAATTTATAATAACATTATTACAGCTCCCACTTTTATGACCTTGAGATGAGACATTAAAAAAATCTAAGTACAGCACCACACCATACATTTAACCCTCCCTTGATACATATGAGAAAATTTAAAGAAAACATTTGGAGCAGTTTTTGAGAATAAAATTGTCAAAAAATTTTTCGAAAAATTGAATATGACCTTATTTTAAGATTATCTTTAAAGAAGTTTTCATTGACGAAAAAAATCTCTACGTTCAATATTATAGTTGAAGGAAGATGCCCAAAAAGATGCACTTTTGTAATTTTCAAAGAATCTGGGATTTCCACAAACATGAGACTTCTACCATTCTCTTAAGTGATCTTTAGGCTATCCAAGGACAAAGTTATATAAAAAATTTGGGACCATTTTTGAAAATGTTTTTAAGGCTTTGTGTAAAAGTAACCTCAAAAAATCAAAATATGCTGTTGTCACACCCCAAAGCTGCAAGTTCGTTCAGATCAATCAGGGAATATGAGTTTTGGAGAAAATTAACTGAACGATTTAGGCTCTAGCATGATGAACAGAATGATGTTTTGCAATCAATAAATTTTTCGGTAGTCAAAGAACCATGTTCAAGGAAGTAATTTACTATATGTTGCAACAGGATTTATCCACTTTTTCATTACCAGATTTCCGGCACGCTATTACATAACTTACCAAGTAAGTGGGAGAAAGTCAAAAAGTAAAATGTGGATGGTGAATTGAAATGTCAAATTTTATGAAAATTTAATATAAAAGTAAATATGTTAGTCACCTATATTTCCAATGTAATATGAGCAAATAAAACACAAGACAAAATATAATTAGAAAATTGTATTTTATTAATGTAACAATTGGTACATAACATTTTATTTGCAGATAAGACAAAATTAAGTTATGAGGTATCATAGTAGTTACTGTAACTTTAAGCATCTCAAGACAATTGTACAAGTATGCATCTTAAAGAAAGATTGAGGGCTAAAGCTCTTACATTATTTTTATAAATCTTCAGTTGTGTACGAAAGAAAGTGAATCATCAAAGCAAACACCAAATGACTTGGGAGAGTACAAATGTTGTCATCTTAACCCTTCAGTGAAGTCATTCCAGCTCTCATTATCTCATCTACTAGGAGGAGGTTGCTGGCAATCACAGAGCTAAAAGTATGAAAGAAAAAATAATTAGAATTTATTATCCTCCACTACACAATATTAAAGACAGCAATAAGCAGCAGTTTTCTGTTTCCTATACATCACTACTCAGAAAATGTTTTCTTAATTATAGGTTAACATTCATTATATAAATAGAACACTGGTATTTGTTAAATGACGATTGTTTTTATAACCAATTTACATGTTCATGTTGAACACTGAATGAAAATGGTAAAAAATTTAAATGTTATGTTGATTATAAGATTCAATCTGCAAGATTGATATAATTAAAAAACATTGTTTTCAATAATTACTCATTGAACTGTCCTATTAATGATTAGAATTCTGTTTCTGTTAATAAGAAAGTCATCAGCATAAACAATTACTTACTTAAGCTACTGTCATTTGTTGTGAAGAATGTTATAATCACGATGTAAGAGATACATCATGGTTTGTACTTACCCACTCTTACACACAATTTTGAACTTAGAGAGACCAATAAAAATTTGCATAAACTTTTAATTTTTCTTAAAGATTCTTGCAAAAATTTTAATAGTAGCAATCACACTGGGAACTAATGTTTGATGCAAATAAACAAAGGTGTTTATCTAGAAAGGGTGTCCAACTCAAGGCCACAACTAAAACCTTTGATATGGTTGTAGGCCATATTTACATTTCCGATCCACACCTGACTTCCCAGTACTGTCGATCTTGGCAGTTTGCCCACATTAAAATGGGGGTGGGGGTGCACGTTGTACCTTGCATAATGCAGGAGACACATTGGGGTGATTTTAAATATCTGAATACACTAGAAAAAAATTCTTAAATCTACAATGACACTATTTTTACAATAAGGGGGAACTGACAGGATGAGTCTGCTAGATGCACAATGTTCTCATTCAACATGGATTCAAGGGACTTTCACTTTTTGTCTAATAACCTTTTGTGGTCCACAATGAATGGCTCCACTGCCCTCTAGATGAACAACCCTGATCTAGAAGTAAGGTTAAAGAGGGATTCTAAGTTACAATAAAAAATTTTGGTTTGGGTAGACAGACACTCAAAAAGCCTTTCATAACTGGGACTTAGTATCCATAAATAAGTATACATAAAAAAAACTGCATACAAAAAATATATAATAGACTTGTAAGTGTAATGTAGTACATATATTGAATTGACCTTAGTGAAAAACTCACCAGGAATTAATTATTTGTTTCTTCACTATATAATTGTCATAAATTCCAGCATCAGATGGTTTCAGAGCTTCCCCTGTATTTATATCAAGCCCAACGGGTTCTCCTGCAGCATGAGCTTCTTCCTGCAGTTTCACAATAGTATCTTGGGCATCGAATCCACTGTTTACAGCTGAAATAAGTTATTTTTGTAAGTCCTATGAAATCATTCCAAACCTTTGTACATGTTTTCGCACCATATATTGAACGTGAAAACCCAAAATTGTCAGATATCCCATTATTAATGCCTTGAAAGTCATGCAAGCCCTGGCAAAATATCAAATGGAGTATTGCACAATTCACCCTCAAGAGAATTTTATTATGGAAAGAATCCAAAGTAGCTTTCCACATTTGATTATTTATAAGCTGGAAATAAAGATATGAAAGAAAATATTCAGGCAGTAATTTTACATTTTTTAAATATTAAACACAATGTAGGCAACCTGCTTAAAAATGAAGTGTATATTTATTATCAGAACGATAAGATAGACCTCACATTATGGTAGTATAAACCCGAAAGAAAGATTTTGTTAAAACCTTATTTTTCATAAGTTCTATTGTTTTCTTTCATCTCTTGAAGTGTAAATTATTTGTTTAACTCACCAAGGGTCTTGGGAATAACCAGTAAAGCTTCAGCATAAGCTTGAACTCCAAGACGAGCCTTGCCTTTAACTTCTTCTTTGGATTTTTGCAAAGCCTGGTAAGCAGCAACTTCAAAGGCACCAGCACCAGGAACCAGGAAACCTTTAAATGATAACGACTGTAATTTTTTTTTTCTTAAAACATTATCCATTGAGATTAACAAATCGAGCACAGGTTATGAACCTCAAATCTTTTCAACAACTTTACCCCTTTCACATGACTAAAAGTTTAACATACCCATAATACAATTTCCTAGGCAAATTATTTTTAAAATTCTTTAACATTAACATGGTAAATAATTACAAGAATGAGGAATAACATTCTAATCCACCACAACAAGTATTTGAGTGAAATAATAATAATAATAGTTTTCTGAAAATCTGGAGTATGTTTAAACACTCTTGATCGTAGTAGATTAATTAAGCCTACTGCTGAGGGAAAATGTTCCATAATTTGAGAGCCCCTGAATTACTAATTAAAGTAAATATTTCCAAATGTTCAGACTAAGTAATGATCAACACATTTATCCTTTGCACACTTACCATCATCAATTGTATTTTTAATTGCACGTAGACCATCTCTTATAGCATCCTTGATTTGAGTAAGGGTATGTTTATTGGGGCCCTTGATGAGAATAGTCACACTCTGAGGCACTTTGCAATCCTCCACAAAAGTATATTTATTTTCTCCCTGTTAACGCACAGTACAAAGCCTTAATTTGTGATATTTTAGTAGTTTACAGTACAAATGCAATGTACAGTGCATGAACATTAATTCAATTTTCACACATTCTTTGGCAAGGTAATAAGGAGAGGTGCAATATTTAAAGTAACAGTATTAAAAGGAAATAAAAACTAGAACTTGGAAAACAAACAAACATGGGATTTCAACAGTGAATGGAAGACAATATCTAATGGTGTACATTACAATACGCAAACAATATGAAATATGAACAAGTTAAAATATTCCTTAGCCAAGGTTACTAAAAATTGTGATTTTTTAAAATCAGATTTTAAAAGTTTAATCTAACTCTGATAATGATGTACAACTCTTAACAAAAATTTGGAATTTGAATTGAAAACAGCTCCTTGTACTGGAACACTTTGAGATCCAACAGTAATGAAAGAGCTCACATCCATAGTGGTGGAAAAGTGTGAACACTACAGGAAGAAGAAAAGAGAGAAAAGAAATGAACATTGTAAAACAAAAAACTATGTAACTAATATTTTTGAACATTTGCACTTGTCCTACCAAAAATTAGAAATCCTCTTTGAACAGAAAATTCGGCATAATTCCTTCATGAACGTTTAAATAATTCGTAAAAGCTATCATAGTTCATTGTTTATTATAAATAAATACTATACTTTCGTAATTTGTATTTTTTTCCTTTATCACTTTACAATTTTTAACAATTCTCTGAAAAATTTACAATAAATTATATTTTTTATTTAAATTGACAATTTTTTGTGTGAATTATATGATTTACATCGTGATTTAAAACAGTGATATAAATCATTAAAACCCTGACTTTAGCATTAACATTTTTTAACATGAATAATATTCGTACTTACCAGAACATGCTCATAAACAACACCAGCATAACCAAGACAATCTTCAGTTAATTCATCTACACTGTTCATAGCAACCCCTCCACAAGCAAGTGCCAAACGTTCCATATTACGACGTTTTGCTCGACGCAGAGCAACAATATTTTCTTTTGCCAACATATCTAATGACATAGGATCAATCCCCTAAGGGCATAAACATTGATAAATGAAATTACAGCCATAAATAAAAACGAAGACTCATGACCTCATGATGACTAACGATAAAGACGCATTACCTTCTGATTAATAACTACAAAACTTTTGTCTGTATTGTCGCAAAGCTTCTTTTTAAGCTCAATGACCTTTGCAACACGTTTTTCAATGAATTCTCTTTCAGCTGCTACTAATTTTTCTCGTTCATCAGCTGATTTGTAGAAAAAGCCTGAATTTACTTCACTGAAATAAACAAATAAATCAGACATAACTTATTTTTCTTAGGACATGGCAGAACACATTAAAATATTAATATTTTCTCATTAAGTGGAAGTCTTTGGAATTGAGTGCAATTAAAACAATTTCTCAACTGTTCATGTAAAAGCCCTTAACTCTTAGCTGCTTATCACGCAGCTGTACATCCTCCATTATGAAATCTGAAGCACCGTGATTTATACTACATTCTCAAGAACAATACAATGCAAAATATATAACTATAATAAATTAGGTTGAAAAGACCTCAATGGCAGATTCAAATAGTTCAATACCATGTTCTGTCAAAAACTGAAATGGCATCATACATGCAACTCTCAGCCTTCCAGTTTATGCCTCAGTAAATAACATTAAACTGTCAATTACAATAAAGTTTGTTATAGAATCCTGAAAGTGGTTATTACATTTTAGGCCTACATACATTTCTGCATGCTTAATTATGCACTGCAAGGTAGGAAAATACTATTAATTGAAACCAAATCTCATGAACTTCAATGAAAGAAAACCAAGGTAACTTACTAACCTTTTTTCATATTCCATGCTGACATTGCATGTAAGAATGTAGGCATTTTCAGCACGTTTTGGCATGTCAGGATGACGTGAACCATGATCTAATACTAAGCCACGAATTAGACTTGTTTCAGTGGCTGTTTTATGTTGCATTTCCATTATCTCAACCATATGTAAATCAATTTCTTTACCTTCTTGCCTAATTGCAAGGACAGCATCCACACAAACCTATTAAACAAATAATATCAATACAAATATTTGGACATCAACATGATGAACACATTTATTACATAGATATTAACCTCTGTCAAAACATCAGCCAGTTGCTGATGAACCTTGGTACGAAGAGATGTTCGAGCAACATCTATAAGTTGATCTCTGGTTGGCTCTACAGGAATTTTTATCTTTTCAAGAAGTTCAAGAGTTTTGGCTCTGGCAAGATCAAATCCTTCTGTTACCATTCGGGGATGGAGACCCTGTGAAAAATTATATTTGAGTTTTTCTTAAGCAGCTCCATTAACATAAATATGTAATATAACAATTTCATTAATAATAATATACCTCTGATATGTAAATGTCTGCCTGCTTTAAAAGTTCTCCAATAACAAGAACTGTGGAGGTCGTTCCATCACCTGTCATATCATCCTGGGCAGTTGAAGCTCTTGCAATTAGTGAAGCGGTGGGGTGTTGGATTTGCTACAATCAAGTCAGAAGTTTTAGTATCCTGAATAGTTATAGAATATAATACCATACTCAATGTTTAACTCATACCATTTCGTGGAGGAGAACATTACCATCTTTGGTAATTTTGATGTCTCCCGCACCGGAAACAAGCCTAGTCAACAACAAAGAACTTGAATTATTTTTTAAACAAGTAGCTGATAAATATCTAAAATATTTCCACCGTACTAAAATTTTCACTCGAGCAATCACGCTCAGGATGACTACATAATTTTCCTTAATAGGCTCATTGTACATTAAATGTCAAATAAACCACATGGCTCTCGCTGTAAGCACTCACATTTTCATAGTTCCTTTCGGTCCCAAATTAGTCCTCATTACATCTTGGATGCCCTTTGCTGCCGAAATATTTACAGCTAGGGCTTGAGCTGCCCTTGCAAACTCGGCTTTTGGGTTCAATAAACTAATTGCTGCCATTTTCTGAAAGTTCCAGCAAATTCGGCTTCTCTCTCGGACCTCCTCGCGTGGGTAGTGAACTAGTGGTAAGGCGTTGGTTGGTTGCTACTGGTTGCTACTGGCGATGGCCGGCGATGGCAATGCAGATTTTCTTTGTGAGCTCTGTGAGGTAGTAGTAGGATTACTTATTCCAAGGATTCTCTAAGAGAACCTGACCTCCCCCTCCATTTCTTCTCCTTGGTATCGCCTCCCAGGGTCGGCAACATCCAGGAACATGAAGCTTCCGTGGAGGAACGGTCCGTTTCGGGGCAGCTGTGAGCAGGTTGTGAATTTTCGTTATGCGTTGCGTCACGCTACGTACGAGTAGAGAACGGAATAATGTTATATCGTTATAAGATGTATTTGAAATGAATCTAATCCAAATGCGGTACGTTTATTCCCTTTTATTGTATGCATTAAATTCAGAGCGAAGGAATAGAATCTGCGCATAATGCTTGTTCTTCCTATTGACTGGCCGATAAACTTTGTTATGCCGCGGCTGAAAATGTTATGTTTGATATGTTTTAGGTCCAGTTCTTTATGAAGGAGACGAGTTTCGAAGGACAGAAAAAGAATTGTGTTGTGTGCTTTTGTGTTTTAGTGTTGTGTGTGTGATTGTGTTAAATAGCGAATAATGGCGGCTGTAAGCAATCCTAGTGAACTTCCCAATTTAAAAATTGAAATAGAAAACTACATAGATGAAGCCATGGAGACAGACGACGGAGGAAATCAGAGTGATAGCAAATTATCTAAAGATGAAATAGAAGAAGGTGAAATCAGTGATACAAAAGATACTGAGCCATGCAGTGTTTCTGGCTTAGGTTCAGATATGTCAGCAATTCATGATATCTGGGTATGAATTCTTATTAACAAACTGTTTTTGTTTAGAGTTCATTGCTAATTCACCAATTGTCTAAGTAAATGTTTGTATTTGTTTTATAAATATAGATGCTCCATTTCCATTAGGAATGCAACGGCATAAGAAAGAGTTATTTTAAATCTTTTATTATAGTTGAATGAGATGTGGAATTAAATTATAATTTGATATAGTTTCATATTTGAAACGTTTTGTTATGTTTGAACGAATGATTAATATATGTATCTTGAGTGTAAATTACCCAATTATCATTGCAATGTTTTGTCAATTATTTTAGGAGAAGAGGTATGAGAATAAAAGTGGTGGTTTTGTGACTGGAATTGATTTTTTTGGTGAAGATCAGAGTAAGCTTGATGAACGTGCAAAGCGTTTTGGGCTGGATCCTGTAGAAGTGAAAAGTGTTTCGGACAAGGAATTCAAGAAATTGTACCAAAGGTAAGAGTAAACGATAAAAACAAGACAAAGAAAAAAAATTGTCTTGCTTTTATCAAAATGAAATTTAAAATTCAGAATTTTCCAACTTTGAAGCAACATGCTGACTGAAAATGTATTACTAGAAATTAGTAATATATATTTTTAAAACATTTATTTATTTTGTACTTATTTTATTAATATTTGGTATATCTATGTATAAGTGAATATTTTGGGACAAAACGTAATATTTGGAGTAATATTGATTTATTGGGGAAGGAAATCAGTTCTTTAAAAAATGTCATTATCATGCAGTCGGGTTTATAAATCATGTGTGCCTACATAATATTGTGATACTGTTATTAATTAACCATAATATTTGCTATTAATTTGGTTATAGATTGTATTGTTGTTTCATATTCAAAATTAATATACAAAGAAATTTTGAATTATTGAAAATTGAAAAATTTTTAATGTTGGCATTGATAAGCCATCTCAAGAATCAACTATTCACATCTATCCCGATTATATGAATATTCTCAAATATAATAGATTTATTTGCAGTTTCGTAAACAAATATTGCATGGCAGTGGGTAATAAATATTTTATTGAAGGCTTAAAGAGTATTTTGCATAATTCTTTAGAAAATTGAATTTATAAAACAAGTTTTATATGAGAGATTGTGTTTCCTTTTATATTTTAATTTGTTTCCAGAGAGTAAACCAGTGATTAAGAAAATATTTCCACTAGTACATACTGATACAAAATATCATTAACTCATCTTTTAAACTTTGAAAAAGAAGTATTTCAATTTGTGAGACTGATATTTGATTCCCCCTTTACTTTCCAATACTACAAAAAATATACAAAACCGTATGACTTCCATCGCAAAGTATGTTGTGGAAATTGATGTGGTGTATTGAAATTTTTGTTCATAGTCTGGGTATGAAGCTTGAAGATGCTGGGGCTGAGAAGCACTACAGACTCAATACTTTACACATGCGAGGTACTGAAGAAATGAGTACACAAGACATATTTGCATATTTCAAGGATTATTGTGCAGCTTCAATTGAATGGATAAATGATTATACATGTAAGTTATAGTACTGGGTAGGATCTTAATCGAGTATAAAGATATTGTACCTATTGTAAAAATATATAACACTTTACATATATTTTGTTTAATTTTGTTTTGTGTTCTAGGCAATGTAGTTTGGTTGGATGAGTCTTCTGCTGCGAGAGCTTTACTAGGTCTTTCAAAACAAATCAAAGGATTGAAGAATTCTGTTGAGAAGGGAAATCCTTTTTCCAAAGACTACAAAAACGAAGACGCAAAAGAAGAAGTTGGGGAAGCTGTTACTTCCAAAGACTCGGAGAGTGTTATGGTAGTAGATGATTCGCAAGATAAAGATGGTGATTCGGAAGCCGAATCAGATGATGTCAAGGTTTGTTATTTTAGAAGTAAGTTTTGCTTATGTATGTCAAGATGGCTCCCTTTCTTCATAAAAAGTGATATTGTTTTATGGTTATGAGCTAATTTTATTCAGCAATTCAATTTTGCTGAACAAGTATATTAGAAAAGATGGGAGTCCAGCAACTTCAAATGCAACAAAATTGAATCCCAGTATATTGTCAGTTTACTGAGATAGTTCACATTTTGTTGGTGTAAAAATTTTACTTCAAAGTAATGAGTTTTTCACAACTTTCTTGTATCCTTTAATTTGTTCATAGTAATAGGTAATTCTTAACATATTTTATTTTTGGATTTACACCTTTTTTTTAATCCTCTCTATTTATAGATTGTGGGATGGGAGGTCAATGTTACATCAAAGTTTCTCATTCAACACAGTATTGTTTTGCAAGGGTTAAAAAAAGCTTTATAATTGATCGTAAATTACTTATTATACCAGAAGAGGTGGCTCAGTGCATCAATTGATGTCACTGCAGTGCCTCTCACTAAGAGGCCCTAGGTTTGAAGCCAGCTGACCGTTGCAGGGTTTTCGATACTAGCTTGTCAGCTAGGTCGAATTCAGTTGCTGCCTGGAGGAGAATTGTAGCTGCCAGCTGCTCTGATAGGTAGTTTTCCAAGATTTCTTTGGTCAACACCAGGCGAATGTCGGAGCAGTACCTTAACAAACAGGCCATGCACTGTCGTTCTTTCCTCTTCCTTATTCTCCCCATACTTACTTGCACATTCTCTAAACATACCTGGTTGGGGAAAACCCTATTAGCCAATGTTCGCCGCTGGGTCTTGCCATCCAGTGGAGGAAGATCATCGCCACCTTCCTCGGAAAAATCATGCACTACACATACAGGACTTAGTAGTTGGACATCTAAGCAGTTGACACACCTGGCATTGCTATCAATCAATTCCCCCTCCCCCTTTTCCTTGAGAGATGTGTTGAACAGGTGGCAAGTCCTCATCTCTATCTCATGGCAATTAGTTTTTTGAAGACTACTGAACAGAAATACTAAAAAGGTCCCTTGCTTACTGCTTTCTATTAATTTCTTTCTCTGAGGCAGAAATTAGTTGTTCCTTTTCAATTTGAAATCAATGTGCGTTTAATAATTCAGTTGTGAACAATGATATGTTTGTTTTTTCTTCTTTTCATTATCTATAATATGAATTTCAAAACTATTATATATTAAGTTTATTTTATATTAATCTAAGTACTTTTGCTTTGCCCAGGAATTTATTCACAAGAGTTCTATTGGTAAGAAAAGGAATGAATGTTCATCCTCCCCTGCCTTGACTCATAGCACCCTCCCACCTCCAACCTAGCCATCTTCTCCTTTGTTTTTCTACCCCCAACATTGCTTTGAACAGCTACAAACAGATGCATTGTTTCATACTCTGGCAAACTTGACAAAAAATTTTCCCTTCAATTGCTCAGTCTAATAGTGCTATGAGAATGAATTATAATGCATTTACCAGCCAGTTTGATGGAGAAAGAGGGGAGGCCAGCAGACAATTTAGATTCAGGTAATAGAAGGAGCAATGACTTAGAGCAACCTGAAACAGGTAGATGCCCAGGATAGGACACTGGGGAGGCTGAAATGTGGGAAGCAGTGAAAGCTTTTGAGACTGTCCCCAGGATACAACAGGACCATCACTTGATGATGATAGTAATTTTTTTCATTGTTTAATTTCTTTACTTCAGGTTTCAGAAATATTTATGTCGTCTGGTGAATTTCCTCACCGTTTTCAAGGTTCACGAAAAACTTGAAACACTTTTAAATTTTGCTTTCACAGTTGGGAAAGAGAAATGGGGGGTAGTTCTTATGAAATGTGTAGGTGATAATTTTTAACTTGTTTCGAACATCCTATGTACAAGTTTCATAAAAACAAACAAATGTTTACCTTTACCACCAGCGTCATGAAGGGGGGGGGTATTGCATCTCGATGATAGCCTCCATGGCTTTTGCCACACCCCACATTTCAGGCTCCACAGCATACTATCCTAAGCATCTTCCTTTTTTAAAGGTTCCTGTCAGTCATTGCCCTTCTTATTCCCTGAATCAAAGTTTCCTAATGTCATCTCCTTCCCTATCTATCTGGCAGGGAAAAAAAACAAATTTTCCGTAACCTTTCCTCCTCAATTTTACTGATTTGGCCATACCACATCAACTATTTGTCTTCAATATAGTGGAGAACAGAGACTCTTGGCAGTTCTTTTTCTTATTTCTTCATTGCTGGTGTGATCAAGTCTGAATACCTTACATGCTCTTTTCAAGAAAGCCATTTCTAAAGCTTGTCTTCTTTTTTTCCGTTTTTCTCTGTAATAGTACAACATTCCACTGCGTATGTGACAGGTTCAACGATGGCCTTGTACACATCTGTACACATTTTTGTTTTCCACACAATCTTCACCAAAGCAATGGATATAATTCTTGTATAGTGGCTCTACCCAGATTTATAGTGTTGTCT